ATTGTACGTGAGACTCGAAAGCCATGTGCTGAAAGTCCACATGGGCAGCGGCAGCAGTCTGAGGGAAGCCTTCGCGGTCAGGACTTAGGCACACAGGCCTGAGACGGTTCTTCCCAAAGGCCTGACACACCCTGGAGAGCCATTTTCCTATTCCCACTGTCACTCTCGGCCATGCGGAGCGAGTGCAGCTCCTCGAAGGTGGTCTTTGCTTTTCAATCAAAGCAGGGTCTGCAGGTGACATCAGCGTTTCCTCAGAGCCTACAAGAGCCAGGGACCCTCCAGACCCAGGTGATCGAAGCTGCATTAAGGTGACCCAGGATTCGAGCACGTTAAAGTGTGGAAACTCTGGTAGCTCATTAAGATAATCTGGGCACTTAAAAAGGGAGAGAGGCAGGGCTGCATGCGGGTTTTTTGTTTGGTTTTGATGCCCTTGGATGATCCTAGCATGCGTCTCGCTGATGCTGAGAACGGCTGCTCTCAGGCGGGGGCCTGGCCTCAGCCTCACGGAGAACCTCCACCTGCTTCGACGCAGAGTCCCTTGAGGCAACTTGTTGGTGACCCCCCTGCCAGCTCCCAGGTCACAGAAATTCCACAGGGATAGTGGACCAGGATGGAGGAAACCCTTGGGTTTCAGAACAAGAAGGAAAGATTTCCTGTTGCTCTGCAGGGCTTTAAGGCCATTTGATTTGCAAGTTTGTAAAATTACAGTGACTTTTTGGGAAGGATGTGGAGTGAGTGTTATTTTATTTGCCTTCCACAAAATGCCTTCAGGGGCAATTCTGGCAAATTCTTTGGAGTGGTTTTTAAAAATATTCCCATCACATGGCATGGTTTTTGTACCTGCACAGTGTCCAAATTTACCAAAAATTCTACTTGGCATAAGACCCCTCTTCGCTCAGAATGAGGTGGCTGCCCTTCTCCTCAATTACCAACCTCATCATTCGGCAAGTTTTTCAGTGCCTGGCATATGCTCTGGACTGGACTATAATTCCAGGGCTTTCTGTCCTTGACCTTCTTGATGCGTCTCAGCACTTTTCCCCACGCCCACCGCCTGGACGTCCTGGGGCCTCCCCTGCTCCCCTGCAGCACTCACCTTCCAGTCCTGCTCTGGAATGTCTTCCGCTGTCCTCCACTTGACCTTGGGGCCGCGAGACTTGTTCCTGAGTTCTTCTGTCTCAGTCAACCCCACCCGGGGAAGAGTTTAGCTCTTGATGAAGTCTAAATTTTCCACATGGGCTTGTCTGTCCTTAGTTTACATTTCCCCAAAAGTACACACAGAGTGCTTACAGCTCAGTGCCTGGAACACAGTAAACTTGCAGTGAGTGAGAGCTGTTATCTCGAGGGATAGACACAGCATTCACTCTGGCAGCAAGGAGTCGGGTGAACCAGCGGGCTGATTCGGTCACAAAGTAATAAGACTAAAACAAAGCACACATCATGGATGTATAGCTCTTTATTTGTAAGACTATAATCACTTGAACGAGTTGCATTTAAGATCACCGAGTTCCAATAAATACCGGCTGTAAAGAGTGTCAAGGCTGTTTTCAAGAGCTTAAAGCAAACACAGAGAGTGTGTCCCAAGCCACGTCAGGCGTACCCACTGACAGTAAGGAGCACATACACGCTCATCATCCTTCCAGTGAAAAGGAGCACATGGAGCTCAGAGCAGAACTACCATTGCCAGCCTGGAAGCCAGCAACAGAGCACCGAACTCGGTGGCAGCTTCCTGAGATGGCCATAAGCAGTACCGCAGAGAGGGAGGGAGGCTTACCCACAGAAACTGACTGTCTCACAGTTCCGAAGGTGAAATCCAAAGTCAAGGTGTCTGCAGGGTTGGTTCCTCTGGAGGCTCTGAGGGAGGAGGAGTTCTAGGCCCCCCAGGTTCTGGTGGTTTGCTGGCAATTTTTTTTTATCTTCCACGGCTAACAGACGTATCACTCCACCTCTGCCTTCCTGCTCCCTGTGTGAGTCTCTGTGTCCAAATTTCCCTTTTTATAGGAGCACTGGTTGCACTGGCTAGGACTTCATCTTACCTAATTTATTACATCTCCAAAAACCCCATTTCCAAATACAGTCACATTCTGGTGTACTGGGGTTAGGACTTCCACATATGAATTTTTGGAAGATGCCATTGAACCCATAACCTCCTCCTAAAACACAGGTTGCAGCCAGTGGTCTGAGCCGCCTGACACCCAACCAACCCTCACCACCTTTACAATCAAGGTTGCAAATCTCAGATCAAAGCGAACTCCAGGTGATCAGCACGGGAGCTCTTAGAGGAAATAGATGGAACATTCTATTCATTGTTTCAGAAGAGTTACCTGCCTGACCGATGAGCAGTTTGAGGTCATCCCTGCTTTTCTATAAACTGTGTGAATCTAGGCAGGAGCACAGTGCCCTTCAAAGTCTTGGCTGCAAGAGCAGGATGTAGGTGGTAAACCACCTGCTCCCTACCTCTCCCAAATAAGCTGTTATTTTCAGGAGTGTGTAAAAGAAGTAAAACACCTACCCACCCTATGCATGCAACGTAACAACGGTACACAGGTAGCCTTCAAGTTTCTGCAAAGTGTGAGTGAGCATCTGCAGGAACTATGCCAGCTCCAGTCAGTTGTTCCACACGATCACCACTAGAGGGCAGGCCATGAAAATATTCCTGTTAAACCAGCTGCTCTTCAAAAGCAACATCTGATACACGATAAACTCCAGATCTAAAAGGTTCTTTCTCCCACATATAATGCAACTACACATTCAAGGAAGGTCAGCGACATGGTAAGAGTTGTCTTGTTTGCACATGACTCTCTTTGGAGTACATTAATAAAGTGTACAGCCCACACACTCACCTGCTCTTTCTGCAGGTTTTCTTCAGTTGGGAGTCCCTAGGAGGGGAGAACAAACCGCACTGGCCAGTGCAGGTCCTGCGGAGTCTGGTTCGGGTTCATGGGTACCAGGAGTGGGCTAACTCAAGCATCCTCTCACTGGGTGCCAAGTCCACATGAACACGCCACAGGGAGCTTTATTTAATTCCTCAAATTAAAGAAGTCCTAAAGACTGTAATTTCATCCATTCTACCTTTGTCACAAACTCTTCCACAAGGAAAGGCACAAGTAAGCCTAAAGTTGGTTTCGGCCCCTCTTCAGAGTTCAGCTTCTCTTCTCTGCCTCCTACCCCCACCCAGGTACATCGATCTTCTCTGCCGTCACGTGTCAATCTATGTCACCACGATGAGGCCTAGCAAGTCTATTTCTAGGCAAACCTCACGTTTCCCTCCTCATTCCAAAACCAGGCTTCTCACTCCTGAGAGAGCAGCACCTAGAAACAGCCCCACAGCCAGGCTAGAGAGTGCTGGCCAGCGTTTACGGAGAGGCTCCCAGCCTTCTTCGGAGGTCTAAACAGGATTGTCCTAGAGAGGCAGGGCTTCGTGGATTCGATGACCAAGAGCACTGGGGAGGGCTGCACAGATCGCTGGGCTCCAACCCCACCTTGTTCGGCCCACCAGCTTCCCAGGGCTCTGGTCCAAGGCAGCCGGAAACAGACCCTGAAGAGTTCCTCCAAACTGCAGAGCTATTCCACTCCTGACCAAACAAACACAGGGCATGACCGAGAATGAGAAAAAGCCAAGAGACACTTTTCGGAGACTCCTTGAGAGAAGGGTGACTGGGAGGACCTGCAGCAGGAAGAAGCTGAAAGAAAGTAGAGCTTCGTTCCTTGGTAGAAAGAAGAAATCAAAGTAGAGAATTTTTTCCAAGTGTTTCATGATGCAAAATTCTGAGTAATTCCTGGTGTAATTCATTTTTAAGAACAGTACTAGATATTTTTAAATCACGGAAGCACTGATGTTTGTGGTCCAACAATACAGATACAGAGAAACAGAACAATCATCCTCCAAATCGTCCTCTGAGTCCACCTTCTACACAGAAACTTGCCGTAAGTTCGAGTTTTGTGGACAAAGCATCCTTTTCCTGCTGAGCTGTGATATTTCTCCCCAGTTGGCCTCGAGTTTGCCAAGAGCAATGAGGACAAATTACCTCACGAGTGTAAAATATCTACAGCACAGCTAAGAAAACTCAAGAAACAGGGATATTAGTGATCTCTCATCACCACTGATAAAGTTCCTCTAAAGTCAAAATAACATTTTGGTCTCAAATATCCAGGGGAATGAGACAAAATGTTCTTCAAACAAGTCTTTGCACAGTGTCGGGGACTGAGAATACCACATGAACCTTAGAATTTTGTTTTCATTTAATCTTTAAAAAACATCTTTAATACTTCTCTTTAAAAGTATTAAAAGTCTTCTTCCACAGTGATAAATCAAAATAAAAGTTAAGTATTTCTCAAATTGGTTGTTAAGATTCCTGCTCTAAGGGACTACAGGAAATTATTTCCTCAGAAAAAGGTTGTGAATATTACCAAGATTTAGGTACGTTCATGAGTCCTAATTCTCACTGTGCATTATATTTCCAATGGAACCTTCTTAAAAATATAGGCCCTGGCTCCCTCACTGCAGAATTGCTAGGGGCAAAGCCTGATAATCTGTAATCTGCATGGTCCCTGGGCGATCATGACCAGCAGACAATGACCTTAGGAACACAGATTTCCGACACACCCAGCTCTGCCCTGGTCTCTAATTAGTCAGCATCTAGTAGCACTAAGAGCTTTCCCTCCCAATCACAAACCTTCCCCCTCCCTGTCCCTCCCAATCACAAACCTTCCCCCTCCCTGTCGCCCTTAGAGAATCAGACCAAAATGGTACTTCTCAAATCATGCTTCCAAAACACAGAGCGACGCAGTCACCTGAGAACAGGTCAAAACCGCACATTCTCAACCTCCCCCAGCCAGCCCCAGAACCACCGAATGAGAATTGTGGGCATGGGGCAAACACAGTGATCTCTGTTTCAACAAGCCATCCCATGATGCTGATGAACACTGAAGCTGGAGAAAAACTGGATTTGAGGATTTTGCAATTCCAAGAGGGAAGAAATGAAGAACGACATAACTCCATGTAAGGTAGAACCAAGTTTATTAATGACAGCCTTTATTACAACCACTCCCAAGTGTAAAAAATAAAGGGTGATTCATTAAAATTTTAAACTCACTTGGCCTTCCACTTGGCCACTTGGATGTGCCAAAGGGTGGGAATCTTGCCTGGTTCTGAGTCAGCGGGTCAGATGGAGCTCCCTGGAGAGTGAGGTACTAAACAGAAAAGACCAAAGTGCCCGTCAGAGAGCGAGGGCCTCGCCCGTGCTGGCAGGGCACGGCAGGACAGCTGCGGCGGGCGGAGAGGGAGGAACACAACCTTACAGCTGAAGGATGGAGTGAACACTTCTAATTACACAGACAGAGACACACACACATGCGGAGTCATAGACACCCAAACTCTGGAGACCAGGTTTCCAAAGAATGTTGTCCTTTCTCTGAGCGGACTGGCACATTCATCTGCCCCAGGGAAGCAACATGGGGCTGAGATGGAACACTTGCTAAATTTTCACAAAGTATGACAACTGGCTGCCCAGTAATGTGTTGGCAAATGTGTCTTCACCATGAAATACGCCTGTGGTTTTCCCAGCCTTCCACAGACCACTGTCTGCTGCCCTGGGAGAGTGCCATCCTGGCAGACAATGGCTGGATTACAGTCTGGGTGCAAAGCTCACCCCGCCCACTGGGGCAGGGTGGGCGGCAGCGCCTGGAGGTGGTTTCCCACCAGTGACCCAGAGCGCTTGTCCCATCGACGTCCTCTCCTCCATGGTGTTTGTGCTTCGTCACCATCCTGACGGCTAGTCTGCACTAAGAGAACAGAAGAAGTTCTGCCCCTGCACTCTTATTTTCTTTTAATAAAAGAAAATTAAAACCAGAAGAAAAAAACCCACTAGAGGCTTTCTGATTGTGCCCACGTTGTTTTGGGATGGGGTTCGATTCCATTCGACGAGAAGGAGGGACAGGGTGCAGAAGAGACCAAGACCACCGTAAACGATTAAGGGGCAGCTGAGTCCAGGGAGGCATCTGCGATAGCCCAGCCGGTCCCTCCCCAGCCAGGGAGGACTCGCCGTGCCTCCCAAGTCCACGAACCCATCGGGTACATGCCGGCCAAATCCCATCTATAAATGGTGTGGGAAAGATGGCAGAAAGAGTACCTGGTGGGTTCAGATTCACAGGTCATGCAAGAAGATTACACAAAGAAATTAATATTCGAGCCTGTGAAGAAACACTTCAGAATTTAAGAGAAACTGTCGCTTTCCCTTTTGGGAGACCCCCCCAAAAAATTTTAAAAAGCCGAAACCCCAAAGTATTCCAGAATTTCCAAAGAATCCAACGCCTAATTTGGTGTGCTGGGGGGAGGGAGTATTTAATACCCCATCGTGAACTTCATTCTCTTCTTGGATCTCACTAATCAATAAAGCACAGGCCTACTTAGAAAAAAGAGCTGTCCTGCTAACACTCAGCATCACGGAGTGTTCCCACGTCCTTGCTCAGAGTGTGGGAAATACACAACTTCTCTTAGACCGACACCGAATGTGCCCCCTCCCCGCCAGTTACTGTGGTCACCAAGTCTGACCTTAAAGACAAGCTGCTTTCTTCTTGGGATGAGAGTTGTCACAATTCCTTGAGTTGGAGAGCAGAGGGAGGCCAGCCCCCCGCACTACAGGAAAGGGGCTGGGTTTTGGAAAAGGCGCCCTTCCTCGGGCCGTGGAACAGAAGGCAGTCCCTTCGCCGTGGGAGGAAGAGCCAAGCGGGCCCCTCCCAGCCTCCCAGGTACTGACGTGGAGGGCGGGGCTGCTTTCCACATACTCAAGTACACCTGTGTCCCTCACCCTCCCTTTTTTTTCTGGTTTTGGTAAGCATCCGACCATCCATCAATTCATGGCTACAGTAGAGATTCACGGCGTGACGACTTTCATACTGTTTTTTTTTTTTCTTTAATTCTGCCAGTGAGCAGCACTTCCCAGCTTCACCCCCCACCACAAGTTCTCGGCAGCTCCGACAGGCAGGACCGCGGGCGCCGCTGTGGCGGGGTCCATGCAGCGTGGATTCGGCTGGGCACGCGGAGGGCCCGGAAGGCTGGGTCGTCCAGTGTCTCGCAGCAGCGGTGCCAGGGCCTCTGCTCTACCAGCTGGCCCTGACCGCTTCAATGTCGCTGACCAAATTCTGGGCCAGGCAGATCCCAAAAATCTGAGCAAGGGAGAAAAAGAACCAGTGAAATTATGCACTTCATTAGGTTTTTTTCCTTGGCCAAGGAATCCCATTTTTCTTATCTTTGCTTTTGTAAGTGGACATATAAATGGACAGACTGTAAAATCCAACCTCTTAAAGTGCATTGCTCAGTGATTTTCAGTCTATACACAAGGATGTGCAACTATAACCACCATCTGACTCCGAAACATGGAGTCAGGCCAAAAAGGAACTGTACCCGTTGGCAGTGATTCCTGCCCCCCCAGTCTTCACAGCCCTGGCGGCCACACCCTACTTCCTGTCTCCGTGGGTCTGCCCACTCTGGACATTTCATACAGAGGGAATCCTGTAACACGTGGCCGTCTGTGTCAGTCTGCTCTCACATAGCAAAGCGTTTTCCAGGTTCACCAACGCTGCAGCAGGCACCAGCAGTTCAGTCCTTTTGATGGTCTGACTAATATTCCATTGTGTCGATAAAGCACATTTTGCTTATCCATTCATCAGGTGATGAACATGTGCAGTGCTCCCACTTTGGGGCTATTGTGAATAGTGCTACTATGAACATCTGTGGACAAGTTTTTGGGTGAACATATGTTTTCAATTCTCTTGGGTACATACCCCAGAATAGAACTGCTGAGTCATATGGTAACTGTTTAATTTTCTGAGGAATTGCCAAATTGTTTCCCATAGAGGCTGCATCATTTTCATTCCCTTCAGCAACGTGCGAGGGTTCCAATTTCTCCACATCCTCGACAACTCTTGTTATTACCTTGCTCTTTAATTACAGTTGACCCCTGAGCCGCACAGGGATTAGGGGTGCTGAAATCCTTCACAGTCGAAAATCTGCATATAATTACAGTCAATTCTCCACATACTCAGATTCCCAGCCACGGAAATGAACCTCGAACAAGTCAAGTCAGCTGAGCTACGTTAGTCAACTGAACTGTGGTCAGTTGAAGACAGATGCTCACGCTGGGCCCACACGACGCCAGCCCCTGCTGTTCACGAGTCAGCTGTTTGCCCGTCCCAGCGTGTGGGATGTGGAACATCACTGGGTTCCGAGGAGAAGTTCCCTAACAACCAATAATGATGAGCATCTTTCCATGTGCTTACTAGCTTTTGTATCTGCTTTGGAGACATGTCTATTCAAATTTTTTGCCAATCTTTAAACTGGGTTTGTCTTTCTAATTGTTGAGTTGCTCTTTTTAAATTATAGATACTTGATCCTTATCAGACATAATGATTTGTAAATACATTCTCCCATTTTTCGGGCTGTAATTTCATTTTCTTGATAGCATTTTCATCACAGAAGTTTTTGATTTTGATGAAGTTCAATTTACCTCCTATTTCTTTGGTTACTTGTGTTTTTGGAGTCATATCTAAGAAACACTGTCTAATCCACGGTCACAAAGAGTTATGCCTATACTTTCTCCTAAGAGTTTATTGTTTTAACTCTTATATTTTGGCCTTTGATCTATTTGAGTTAAATTTTGTAAATGGTGTGAGGTATGAGTTCAAATTCATTCTTCTGCACACAGACATTCAGCTAGTCTAGCACCACCGGCTGAAAAGATTATTCTTTCCCTAGGGGACGGGCTTAGTTTGCTTGTCAAAAATCAGCTGGTCATTGATGCATGGGTTTATTGCTGGAGTTTCTATTCTAGCCCATTAATTTTTATGTCCAACCTTCTGCCTGTACGCACTATTATCCTGATTACCACAGCTTTGAAGTAAGTCTGGAATTGGGAAGTAGGAAGTCACCAACTTTGTTCTTTTTCTTTTCTTTTTTTTAAGATTTTATTTATTTATCTTTAGAGGGGAAGGGAAGGAGAGAGGGAGAGAAATATCAATGTGTGGTTGCCTCTCATGTGTCCCCCACTGGGAACTGGCCTGCAACCTAGGCATGTGCCCTGACTAGGAATCGAACCGCAATACTCTGGTTCGCAGGCCCACACTCAATCCACTGAGCTATACCAGCCAGGGCCAACTTTGTTCTTTTTCAAGTTTGTTTTGCTATTCTGGGTCCCTTGCATTTCCATATGAATTTTGGGATCAGCTTTTCCATTAAAAAAAAAAGACGGGGGGTGGGGGAGACAGCTGGAATTTTGATGCAAACTGCACTGAACCTGCAGGACCTTGAGGAGTACCTCAGCCTTAACAACAGTAAGCCTTTCAGTCTGTGAATATGGAATGGCTTTCCATTTATTTAGGTTTTCTTTCATTTCTCCCGACCACTGCACCCTATTTGTGCTCAAAGAAAAGTATCACATCCCCAGATGACAAAGAGGCCTAGACCTTCAGACTGCCCGGGAGGGTAGTGGGCACGCCTTTCCCTCACTAGCACTTGCAAAGGTGGGAAGGGGCACCACATGTCTTTGAAAATCCAAAAAACGTACTGCTACTTGGATCTACCTTCAACCGTCCCTGTCTGCCCAGCTGTCAGGTGCAGCATTACTGGGCCCAGGGAAATGCCGGCATGTCAGCAGGCAGCTACTGACCCAATTTCTCCACGTTCCAAGGGAAGAAAGGTTAAACCAGAGCTTTAATAAAATACAAAGTAATGCAGGCCTGTGTCCCAGCCCCTCCAATTGTGTCTTAACAACTATGGCACTAAGGTGATTACGCAAAGCCCCCGTCCTAGCGAGGGTTCCCCCACGGCACCATTTCCCTGCAGCACCGGAAAGGAGCCCTGTCTTACCTGCAGCAACGCAATGCCTATGAATATACCGGCCACGATGGTCAAGTTGTCCTGCAACCACTTCTCAAACTGGGGCACGCAGCCTTTCGTGTAGATTACAATCTGCTGATCGACTTCCTTCACCAGGGAAGAGGAAAGCACAGCATCACCACGCAAGTTCAAAAGCTCCTCCAACACCCTCTGTGCTAACAGACAAGGTGGTATTCCACTTACTGGTTTCTGCCTGGCGTCGTAGCCACACTGAGTGTTGATGACATCTTCCTGGTGGAGAAAGGAAACAACAGTGAAACTGACGCCTGCTCCAGAGCCCACAGGAGGAGCCGCCAGCAGGAGATCCCATTACAGGTCGGCGACAGGCGGTGTATTTGGGCATCAGACAGACCAGCCGCCTTGTGGAGCACGTCTCTACATTACCCATGTGGTTCCTGTAACAATCCTCAGAAGCTGGTATTAAAAAGTGAGGCTCAGGAAATAGCAGCAAGGAGAGCACAGCTTTCTGCGGGAGGTTCATGATTCAGAGTTGATGAACCTCAGTAAGTATATGGACTTTAGGGAACAAAGACATAGATAAACTCTGGTTAAAGAATACAATGACTATCTTCATTTTTGCTTTCTTGGGCAGGGGGGGATTTTTACTTTCTAATCTATATGTTTCTGTATTGTTTAAATGGGTTTCAATGAAAATACAATACTTCACTAAAAATAAAATAATGCCCTAATCACATACCACATGGACTGATGTTCTGACATCCGACAGGCCTGATCAGAAATGTGGGTTCCCCTCTTTTAGGCTTATATTTTCCCCTCTGCAGGGCATGAGTGGAATTTATCAGCTTAGCATTTATGGGATAAGGTACTCTACCCAGAGGATCTGTAGTTGAAAGAGGAGGCACGGTGCCTTCTAAGAATTTCAGAATCCATCTGATGGGAGGCTAACACAGGGCAGGAAATGGAGACAGAGCACAATCTGTATCTACTGGCCAGCACCAGGCGGCCGGATTGGGTACCCTGCGCTGGGCACTCCTGCCTTCTGGCCCTACTCAGAGGAAAGGGAGGAACAAACCAGTGGGAAACGTTAGCTGTCCTGGCAAGGTCCCAGAGCAGAAAGCGCAGCCCTTACTGATTCTCGGTCTCCTTCAGAGCAAGAGTACAGCCCAGGCTGACCCCCCCATCCCCCCCACCCTGGGCAGTAGGTGGCCTGCAGGGACCTTCTGCTCTTCTACCCTGGACCACAGCCCCTTTTAAAGAGCCTCACTCCCTCTACCTTACAGGGGAAATGGCACTGAACTCATCAGCACCCACTCAGTTCTTCAGGGGGAAGGGCGGCTCTGAGAGTGGACACCTGGAGACTAACAGGCCAAAGAGAAGCTGAAAAGTCCAGAGGCGATAAGGGCCCTCTGGGGCAAATGCAGGAACAACTGCATTTGTCATTCTACCACTCACTTCTGGCCTTTAACATACGATTAAGAGACTGTAAGTCATTCTACAGAGCAGGCACATAGCTGAACCCAAAATAATACAATCACGTCCATGGTAAAACACACACACATGTAAAACTGTAATCAACTGTGGTCATCACAACAGATAGTCTGGGCAGCTGCGGTCTCCCCACATAGCATTCTAGTCCTATCTTGTGTCGAACTCTTCCTTATTCCCCAGAACTAAGTCAGGCAGAAAAGGGATACTAACGCCAGACCAATGCAGAGCGCTCTCAGGTAAGCCGCTCCTCCTCTTAAAGAAGGAACAACGGACGCTGGGTCTGAAGGTCAGCGCCAACACCTGCTAGCCATGCGAGCTTGGGAGAGTTGACTTACACTCCATGGGCCTTGATCTCACCCAGAAAGGGAAGATAACGGTGGTGTGTGCCAGGAGAACGTTCTGAACTTCAGTGAGCCAAGGCACAAAAAGGCTTAGAATAGGAGCCAGCATGCACTGCTAAATCAACGCCAGGGATTACTACTCCTACTGGGAAGAACGGAGCACTAGAACCCCCGCAGGAGCTGCAATTAGGGCTAAGTTTTAAGAAAAAGATCTCTGTGTCCCTCCCACACACGCCCTCCTGTGTGACGCGCGGAGCGGTAAGCAATGTGCTGGCGTCCACTTACCGCGGGGTCCTTAGTACAGCAGGAGAAGGGCACGCCGCATCGCTCCCGACTTGCATTGGAATCTGTGCAATTGAAGTAAATATTTAGGTTCCAATCATCAGCTCCAAAAGCCCCACAGCACTGCCACTAGAGCAAACAGGAGAGAATTAGAACACCTCGACGCGGAGGCCACCAGGCGCCTACACGCACACCCGCCAAAGCGCCACACCGGCTCCTGCCGGCTCTAACCCTCTCTTCTGTCTCAGAATTTATTTCTAAACCAAACGGAAGCTACACTGCCCCTGTAAAAGGCTCCAAAATAATTAAGGCTGAGGGTTTGTAAGGATATGTTGACACGTGGTTTAAACGAGTAACGAGACCCACGCTGTCGGGTAGGAGAAGGGCGGGCGTTGGACCGCGGGGCTCGGCTGGAACCGAAGGGTTTGGTTGGTGCGCACGGAGGCACGTTCGCGAAGGGCAATCCAGACACTGAACAGTGGTGTCTGAAGGGGGCAACGGGGGCTGTGGGGGCGATAACTGGAGAATTCCTTTTTTACCATTGTGATCGCTACACCTTAAAGGGTTTTTTAATCTGATTTATTGAGGTATGATTGACATACAATAAACTGCACGTACTTAAAGTGCACAATTTTATAATTTTTTGCACATGTATATGCATCGTGACACCATCACTGTAATCAAATCTGTGGACATATCCATTACCCCCAAAGTTTTAGAGGCTTACTCTTCATTACATATCTGTTAGTACTCTAAATTTGTTCTAAACAAAAGCATATTTTACATTTCCACCGTAAAAATTCAGTTGTCTAATTAAAATACAATAAAGTAAGGTGTTAAATTCTCTGGGTCTTCAAAGGCCTGATTCAAGGCTGTTGTTTCTGCGAGTCCCCCGCCACCGCACCCCTGGGTTGCAGCGGCTCTAATTCTCCCAGTTAAATAAACATCAGGCCTTGACCATTTGAATACATTCAGGACCAAGAGCTAGTTCAAGACATTTAACTCCACGACATAATAAGAAAACCGCACTAAGGCAGCACTGCCATATACAGCACACAGCAACTGAGGAGCACGTGTGTAAGCTCCGCCCACTGTCGTGGTCCTCCGCGGCCTGAGGAGTGCGCCTCAGGGTCTGCCTGCAAAGCTCAATCAGATCTGCCGTGCAGAGGAGGCGGCAACAATATTCGGCAGGGTGCGAGCTTGCATCCAGTTCCCACCTAACAGAACAGTGAGGTCGGCTGAGCAGATGAAACAGGCTCCCTTTCGGGCCTGAGGCATGACTGACTCCAGGACAGTGCCTGCTGCCACCGAACAAAACCAACAACTCCTGGTGCTGCCCCCAGGGCGAGCGCTGGTGGGGCCCTCTCCCCCCTTTATCAAAGGGGGCCCCAGCTCAGTCTAGAAAGCTCATCCCCTGGGCTTCTGTGTGCTCTCTGGCCCTGCCACGTGTGTTAGTATAATGGACTCCACTGTCCAGGCCTGCTCAGCTTATCCAGTGTTTCCCGGGGCGCAAATAAACACCCATCCGCTCATAGGACCGTAACACGGTAAGCCCAATACAAAGCCATGCACATTTCATCAGAGTGTCGTAATATGTCCAGGAGTTAAACTGTAGCTCTTATCATTTCCACTTTACTGTTGGGGCAATAGGTCATGGTCCTACTAGCCCAAGGTGACTGAGCTCATCAGATCTGGGCACTGGATCTGGATCTTCTGATCCCTGTCTCTCTCATTTTGCACTTTGAGTGCGACAGGGGGCCTGCTACTTCCTTTGCACTGCTGGGGCTGCCACACAGAAACGCTCGGAAACCCAGGTAGGAGGGTCTGCTGTACCGAGTCCTCACTTCTTAGAGGTCACCAGGGCTTAGAACTTTCTCAATTTTTGGTTTTAACCACATGTGCTATCATGATACTTGAGGGATACTTGAATAAATATACTTCCAGAACTTTTTGGACAAGTATTTTACTGATACATATATTATTCTGAGCTGTGAAGTGTGGAGGACGACCCAAAATGGGCAAGGAACAAGAAAGAACCCATATTTAACAAAACACAATGTCAAACCTAGAGCAAAACAATATTCTTTAAATATCAACAGCAAAGGGCAACCGTGATTAGAAGCTTCTTGCTCTCGGGTTTTCTTCTTTGTTCCTTCCAGCAGAAATTAAGATAAGTGAAAATAGGATATTTCCATTTCGGGCAGAAATCATGTAAGTCAGAGAACAAGTCAGAAAATAGTAAATGGACGAGCGAACAAACCAATAACCATGCAGGGAAGTCAGAGGTGGGTTCCGGCTGGCAGACGCCCAAGTCGGGGAGATGAGCTCTGGGGTCACCCTTCCCAGAAGGCTTTCAACTTAAAAATAAACCAAATGTAAACTTACATATTCCTGGGTGAAGTCTATGAGGTTTTGCAAATCAATGTCATCCCTGTACGCTCTGATGTTGTTGTTTATAAAGAAATACAGCTGGTCTTTGATCCAGTCTTTGAAAACAAATGCCAGAACGCCAGCAGTGAGCTCCAGGAAGAAAATAATTCCCAGGAACACAGAGAACTAAGACAAAAGGCACACACACAGAGAACAATTATCAAGGCTATTTTGATCATATACAATTAAATAGTTCCTTCTAAAAAGGTTTGTAATTACATTGGGTTGCTATACATATCCAAAGCAGATAACCTTCAGTGTGCTGGGATTCCTTAATAAATTATTAACCCTCCAAGAAAGGATTTTTGCAAATCGTTTCATAATCACACTTTGACGCTGTGGTGCTCCATTTGGCAATTAACCAACGAAGTTCATAAGCAAACATGGGTAACAGGAATTTCTCATTTGATCCACATAAGGCCTCATGAACTTGTCCTGATTGATACGCTGCCAGATCATGACCTTTCCCTACCTCTGGTAGGTTTCTGTGACACTGAAAAAGAAATTATCCCAATATTTTAGGATCACCTGTCATTCATTACTGTGGCCTTGATCTCATACACAACATACTGTGGATTAAGATGCTGCTTTAATTCCCTTCGCACCTGCCGTACAGGGTGAAACAGCAGACATGTTTATCTTAGGTGAAGAGATCAAAGAGGAAGTTGTGGGGTGACTGTGGCATGAAAATAATTTCCCACCGAGAAAACAAAACAAAACCACTGGGTTGAGGGCCTTCCTTCGTGAAGCACCAGTCTCGGAATTTAAATAACACCAACATACGGCCACTGGGGGACTTGCGGCTAATGTAGACAAGGGTTTTAAAAGGAGGGAGAGAGACCGCGGCAAGCCGGCACTGCCCATACCTCTGGAGAAAACTCCCTTCCACCTAGAACACTCTCAGGAGCCCCACCTTAGTCATATCGATATACTACTCACACTCACAGGTCCTTCCACTTCCTCCAACACCCACATTCTTACCCTTTTCAAACTTTCTTGCTCAAACAGATTATGAGAAATGAGGCTATAAGAGACTAGAGTGTAAACTACAGGCAAGCTTCTGGTAACAAGGACAGAAAGGGCGACACTGGGGCCGCACCGCTGAGCAGAGCTCCTGAAGGCGGCAGGACAGGTGTGGCTGAGGAGACAGAGGGCCCAGGCCACCTGCAGCCTGTGTTCATCAGGCGGACACCAACAGCCAGCCAGCAGAAAACGGCACGGGGGAGGGCACAAAGGAAACTACACAGTTACTTACCATTTAAAAAGCCAGGAAAAGTGTTTATTCATTCAGCAAACATCTAGCGAATGACTTGTAACAGATCGGGCCCTAAGCTGGTGGGCTTCGCAGAAGCAAGGATGAGTAGGACCACAGCCCTGCCTCCGAAGAGCTGACGTTGGCATGGAATTTGGGGGCAGGGTGGAGGAAGGGCAGTGGGCGGGACCATTTCACGTGGGATGTCAGTATATCTGACCGTGTTTATCCAGGGTGCCAAGGGCCCTTCTGGGACGGTGGGCATGAGGGGAGGGCTGGGCCTGGCGAACTCTGGGACCCCAACGTTTACTTAGGCCCCGAATCTAGGCTGTCCAGCCCAGCCCCTCGGGTTCCACAGAGCTCCCGGTTATCCCCCCTTGGTGAGTTCACTGGCAACAGAATCTAAGGAGCCCTTCATGATCACTAGTGGTACTGGTAATTTTAAGGTGAATTTTCCTCAATCTACGAAAAAAAAAAGGACAGAAAAAAAATCCTGCCACATTTACTCCACGCCTACCCTACAACATAAACAGCCCTCTCCCTGTATTAGGTGCCACTGTGTACACGACAGTTACTACACTGCAAAAAGGAGAAAAACCACCGCAACCTCACATGTGTGTATGTGCACCACACCAAGACAGAAGTCATGCAAAGGTTTTAATTAGATTTTTGTTCTGACCTTTATAAAGGCTAGGCAAGTTCATTCCCTAGTTACTCTGGTAAATTTTCTCGTGTTACAAAATATACATATCAAAACCTGAGTCCAAATTAAGTCCTTATCAAAAATGTTGGGCAGAATGCTGCAGGCCCTGGGCCCTGTGAGCTAATTTCCCCATTTCCAAAGGTGCAAAGCTGTTGAGAAAGTTCCATTTCCATTTCACACAGATTGTCCCTAGCTCTTGGATTTTTCCTCAGCAATTCTCCTGGCGTTATGGCTTGAGATCACTGAGACTTCCCACTTATATAAAAGACCACCCTAGGCCACTTTTTATGGTATGTACTAAATGGAGAAAGGAACCATTTAAAATATCCCCCAAGACTTAAAAGAAGTCAAGAAATGATACAATTCTCTTCATTTCCAACATGGTACTTTATAAATTAAGGTGATGGTTTAAAGAAATGTATATATTTCTGTCTATTCAAGTTACCTCTAAGTATCTTCATTCATAAAAATAAAAAAGGGACTACGCTTATAAACCTATATGATTCAAGTGAATCATATTCAAGGGGATCCCACATTTGAGAACATGGTGGTTAAAACTGATTAAAAAATAGTCGCAACTGGTAAGTATGATGAGGCCCAAAGGGCTACAGAAAAGCTCTAGCTCTAGAAATATCTCACGCTAAAAGGACTGGCAGGTTAGCAGGTTGTGATCAGGGACAGAACTGTCCTCCGTGTGTGTGTGTGTGTGTGTGTGTGCGCGTGTGTAAGACAAATGGAGTTTTGGGAAACCCACTACTCCCACTGGAGGTCTGTGTACACAGAACAGAGATCCAGCTGCTCATTAGGTTTTACACAGGACCAAGTACCCCTTGGTTTGCCCTGTCCGCATGAGCTTCCAGGTAAAACAGCCTCTGGACCCTTGTCTTGGCCGGAGCTGCCCAAATTCAAATTGGGCTACCCTGCATGGGCAGTGAGGGGACAGTGAGCCTGCTCTTCTTAGTGGTACTCAGGAAAAAGTGCCAGACGAAGATGTGCCAGACGTACTGGGAAGAGAATCACATTCCACGCGGCAGCTGGGACTGCTTCGGGTCTATGCTCTCATTTTCAATGAAAACGGTCCTCCGTGATGCCGTGTCACTAAAGGATGAAAATCATTCTACAAACGGGAGATAATTACACTAATACTGTCCTCTAGAAATCCGACCATGTTCCCTCATCCTAGGAGGCTGGGGTTTTTCGATCCTTTACCTGTTTTTAGAAAGGGGAGTGGATGCTGCCAGGATGCGGCCACCACCCAGGGCATGTCCACACCCAGACTGACAGGCCTGTGCATCTGACCTCTGGCTACACTTAGCGAACTGTCTCACGCACGTACCAGCACGCCCAGGCTGTTCTGTCCTCCTTTGGAAGGAATCTCCAAAGGAAAAGCGTTCACTTTTTATTCTCTGCCTGTATTTTTGATTCCTAACAACCCCCTGGGAAAACTCCTCTTCCAAATCTGTTCATGCTAACAGTGGTCACGCCAAGCACCCTGCAAGGGATCTAAAAATTATGCTGGTTATAAAAGGAGGACCTTGGCTTCTACTGTTTCTCCATATTCACCAAAATCTACGCTTAACAGATTTAATCTGGACAGGCAACGGCCACTGTGCTTATGTCTGGTTTCTCTAAACCAACTAGCCGAACAATTTTCTACTGATTATGTGCTTAAAAGAAAAAGCAAAGATCACTGAAAAGAAGAAACTATATATAGAACAACCTGAGTTCTAAAGGCCTTCAAGGACTGAAATGCCAGGTCGTGACACCCTTGTAGGAAACCTCTCTGGGTAACGTGGGTGGGGCAGGTGCAGACAGTATTAGGGAGGCAGGGGCCGGGCGGAACCAGCGAGTTCTGCTAAAAGAACAGCATTCCCCAGGCCGTATTTCTGCCAGTGCTCTTAGGATAGCTCAGTCTTGCCTAAAAATAGAGTGTCCTCCTAGTGTGGCTATGTTTAGTGTTCAACCTGGGAGCAGAGTGTGATACTTACAAATTTGAGAAGGAACGTGTTTTCCCGCAGGGCTCCAATGCACCCTGCAAACCCCAGAATGAACATCACTCCTCCCACCACAAGGAAGAGCCAGACCGGGTCAAAGCCGCCGAGGTCGGTGATGGAAGAGATGTTGGACAGAACTCCCTGCGGGCAGAAAAGAACACACGACAGAGCACCAGGTGCCGGGTTAGTTCTCCAACATGAAAAGATGATTACGGCCGACTTTCCCCTCTCCCGAAGAAAAACGGCATAGGTCACCTGATTATTCGGTGTGATTAATACTCAAGAGACACTGCAAAAAAAAAAAAAGTAAAAACAGAAAACAACTTTTTTTCCAAGTCTAGATAGGGTCGTATTTTAAGTAAAACTACATAAAGCAAAGAAATGATCCCAAGAAACCATCCGCAGACCCTGTAGGGAAAAGATGGGGAAGTTACCTTTGCTTTCCATGTCCATAAACATAAGTGTCTGGAGTAAACAGCACGTATGTAAGAAAAATACCTCCCTTGTATACCTGAAACTAATACAAAATACTACCAAATGTAAACTGCAACTGAAAATTTTTAAAAAATTTAAAGGGGGAAAAACACCTCCCTCCACCCAGGAAGAAAGAAGGGTCATCCGAGTCCTGGGACGCGGGTAAGTCGGACAAGGACCTGCATCCAGCCCTTGGTTTCTCAGGGAACGGGATCCTGACGCTGCCAACTCAGCAGCTAGGCCCAGACACAGCCCTTCAAAGTCTTCCAGGCAAAAACTGCTCGTCCAGATCTGCCCTTGAGCTTCACAGAGCCGTCAGGCTGAAATCCTCAAAGCTAAGAACCGGGGTTTAAATGATTTACAAATCAAAGGTTACTCCCTGGGTTTCAACCCTTTCATTCTCCTACCAAAGGAACCCAGAGTAATCTCATTTCTCCACAAACAATGCCATTTCTTTACGGAGAGCCTTTCTCCATTAATGAAACCACATCAAATATCACCCAAAACTCTGTTTAAAATTAGGAGATGTTTTTCCTGTAAAATGCATGGTACAAATTCGTTATTCCTTCCTACAGAGACCAGGTACTGTTATCTTCTAATTGGATAAATAGGAGTTTCAAATACTCAGTATCACCAATATTTTTCTTATCTTATTATTTTTTAATTCTCAAAATAGCCACAGTGTATCATGGTATAGTTGGCTATAAAGTCTTAATGTTAAGCAATTTGTTTTCACAGCATTTTCAAGAACCTAGAAGAATATAAAGTATTCATCTGATTTTATACTTGAGAAAAAAGGAACCTAGAGAGGTTTTGGTGAGCTGCTGAAGGCAATACAGCTATTAATTGTTTTGGACCCAGAAAAGAATATTTACTTCAGCACGTTAAAAAAAAAAAAATGAAAGATTTATTGTATTTAGAGGGGGAAAGAGAGAAAAGAACACTGATGTGAGAAAGATACATCAATCAGTTGCCTCTCATATGTGCCCCCCAAAGGGGACTGGCCCACAACCCAGGCCTGCGCCCTGACTGGGAATCGAGCTGGTGACCTTCTGCTCTGCTGGACATGCCCAGCCCTCTGCGCTCCCCCAGCCGGAGCCGCACTCTTTTCCACCAAGTGGAAGTCGTGCACTTGCTTCCAAGCACTTCCCAGTGCACACTCGTCAACACCTGACTCTGGGAGTTTTCAGGTTTGGCCCATTTTAAGGTAGTACAAACATGTGAACAAGAGTATGTTGTTTATTAGGTTTGTACTTGTTTGGGGTGAGGGGAGCATCACCTTAAGAACAATAATAGGATATTAATTTAGAACACATACAAGGAACTAGGAAGTCTTAAAGCACAACTTAAGCCCTATGAAACAGGCAGAGATTTAACTAAATCACAGATGAAGGGTTGGGAGACTGTGAAAGCACTTAGGAATGCAGGGTTTATTCTCTGACTTCTGGGCTGACGTCACAAAAGGCAACCACACCCTTCGCCAGACTGCGGAGACAGTGGTGGCCAGATTCAGTCCTGTGTGCTCAGACATCCCAGCTCTGAACTGTGAGTCCCAGTGGGACCCAGCACAGAGACACGGTAACCAATTGTGCACCTACACAAATGGGGCTCGGAAAAGTCACACAAAATCGAAGCAACACTGCTGAGGATCCGCGTGGGAAATCAACCACTCTCTCCCCCCTCAGAAAGCCAACACAGGTAGGAAGTTTTAGACCTTAGCTAGGGGAATAGAGGTCTTTCGGAGTACACAATAAGAGTCTTAAAATTTAAAAAGTCAACTTAATTATGGAAGAAGTAGACTTGATTTGCTCATCACCAAAAAGAAGAGGCAGCAGAGGTGGAAGAGGCAGGAAGAGATGCAAGGTCCACCAAAACGAGGCCTTCCCAGTACCAGCCTGCTTGCAGCAATGGGCCGGAGAGGCTGCCTGAGAAACTGGTTCCCTTCCGGGGCGATGCTGAGTCCTCCGCTGGCAGTGTTCCGGAGGGGGGCTCCCAAGTTGGAGGGGAGACTGGGATTCACTAACTTTTAAGTTCCTTCTATGTTAAAGACCATTCTCTGATTCCATGGATTTTTAATGGGCTGCTTATTTGTGATTCACACTCCAGTCTAAGCAAAGAGCAGATTGTTGCCACTCTTCCGTGCTCCAAGGCCAGGCACAAAGAGCTCAGTGAATCACAAAGATGGTTCTCTGGGCAACTTGGGCCCACCTAGCAAGCCGATGAATGCACCTGTGCCTGAAATACTCAGGCACTCCTGCCCCCAAGGCAAGAAAATTACCATCCCAGGTCCGAGTAGGCTCCTGAGTCAGCTGTCCTCTCTGGGTTTCATCTGGAGGATGAGAATTTGGCTTCTCAGACAAACTCATTTTCATACTTTCACTCTCTCCAGACTGTAGGTTGTTTTAATTGCGAGGCCTTTCACTGTTTCCGTGGAAACGACAATCACTGGGGGGCTAGCTGGACTGCATATTCTACTCATTTAAACCTACATTCCAGCAAAAGACACGGCTGGAAACAGATACTGAGATGGTGTGGGAAAGGACATTCTACAAAGCATAGAATGACCAAGAACTTTGTTTTTAATGGATTCAGACTATACTCAGGTAGTTACCAGGTGAAAGATTCTAATCTTAAAACATGGAGTGTGGAAGCTGATGCCCAGAGCCCTGTGGTTAGGACATCACTCTTTTCACCTGCGAGATGTTTCCAATATGCACGAGGGGCCGGCAGCCCCACCGCTGCTGCCCCCACAGGGGGGTGGGGGAGCTAAAAATGAATGCTGGCAACGACCGCACTGAAAAATTGCAGGTGAGCTGACAGCCCAGCCCTCTGTTGGCTTCAAGATGGGGTCTCTCCTGGACTTTGTAATTTTGTTAAGCTCAACTTGACAAATGAATAAGAAGTGCTAGAACATGCCTGCCGAAGAATCATTATAATTAAAGCTTGTAGTTGACAAGAAGCCGGAAGAAAAAAAATCTAAGATTACAGTTAGGTGTGCCAAGTGATTTAAAATAGACATTCATTAGTGGTAAATCCTCAGGAATGTGTAAAAACAACACCGGCAGACACCTGGCCTTCCGGGGACCTGTGGGCACCACCTTCTTCAGGGACACACACACGTCCCCCTTCTCATGAGAATTCCTCATCCCCCAAATCTACACCTCAGACCTGCCAATTCTCACAGGACCCCACGGGCTCAACGCGAGTCGGAAGCCTGAATGCCCTTCCTCGGAAACCAGGATTCATTCAGAACACGCATTTCTCTCACGTGGCTGCAGCTGTAAAATACCAAACTCCGCAGCCTCAGGCAGCATGGTGTCCACCATGTGACCAAAACTGGAGCTCGCGGGTGTGCTGGGAGTAATGGATCAGGGGTGGGGTGGGGGAAGACAAGGGGCAGAGACAAGTGCTGGATTTAATGTGGTTCCTCTTCTTGGCTGGCTGGTATTTCCAGTCAGCATAACCACTAAGCCCATGTAAACAGTTTTCTTTCGTGTTCATTCACTAGCAGTTCCCCATCATTAATGACATGAGCCCTACGTGGAACTTTTAGGTGATTTATCTATGTCACTGGCAAATAATACATGATTTGAGCACTAATTCTCCATGTAAACTTGAATGTTCACTCTTTGGGTTGAATCGCCAACTCATTAGTACTCAAATGTATTGAAAAAACAGTGCAAAATGTCATTTGGCTACCCTCTTCTGTACCCAGAACTGCTGCTTATGCAAGAAGGGTGCACCCAGAGAGCCTGGCGACTGCAGCCCAGTTGTAACTTCTTATCCTTCTCCCCATGAATCCTTCAGGCAAGGCCCTGGGAAGGGAAGATGCCAAGGGGACTGGACTTCGTGGAGGAAGCCTGAAAATACCCCGTGGAGCTGAAGTGAATGGGAATGAGGATAAATGGATGCCAAGCAGAGCAATCAGCCACGCGCGTGTGCTTATTCCTCTCACCATTTCTTCGGGCCGACATGAAAGCAGAATTCTGAGCAGGAGCAACAGAGACAGAAAGGGGAAGAGTAAGAAAGAGAGTCAGAGACCAAGGCTGCGGTCACAAGAAAAATTTATTCAAATACTACAGAGTCAAAAATACAGGAGAATTTCTAACACCTATAGTCTTTATACATTATTGAGATTGATGGGCCCTGGCCGGGTAGCTCAGCTGGTCCGATTGTTGTCGGGATATGCAAGGTTGCAGGTTTTTTCCCCTGGTCAGGGCCCACACGAGACTCGGCCCGGCCCATGAATGCATAAATTGGTGGAACAAAATTAATGTTTCTATTTTCCTCTCCTTTCCTCTCTCTCTAAAAATCAGTAAATTTTTTAAAAGGCAACCAATGAATACTTAAATAAGTGGAAAAACAAATCAGTGTTTCTCTCACCCTTCTTCTCTCTAAAATCAATCAATAAAAATTTTTAATGATTATATTGATGAACACTGATGTAAATAAACATTTATAAGAATTCTAATCTTCATGTTCACACTATTTGCTCCCATATCTCTAGTCTTCCACCCCTCAGTCACTGGAAGTCCACGCAGTCAGTCCACCACGGCAGAGGCAAAAACAAGTTGGCCGGCCACAAAGCACTGCCGTAGCGATGTGATGCACACCACTCAATTTTAAAAGGTGAAAGAAACAAATATATGCAGCAAACTAGCCATTCC